AGACAGTCAACACTTAAAGGGTGAGCAGGAGAAGTGCCAATGAGACAAGGTGGGAACAGCAGAGGAGTAGCCAAGGCCCAGGATGTTGCCACAGAAGCCAGGAGAGGAGAGTGTGAAAACAGAGGAGGGACAGAAGAGCCACATGGAAGAGCTAGCAGCATGGAAGTGACTTTCAAGAGCATCTTCCATGGCATCGTGGAAGAGATACCCAACTGGAGAGTCTGGAAGGGCTGAGGGAGCTGAGTGAGCAGGGGCAGTGGGTACAGACCACTCGGTGGAGAAGTTCAGACATGAAGGGCAATGCCAACTTAGAAAGTCCCTAGAAGAAGTTCCTGGAAACACATTTGACCATTAAGTATACAAAGAGATGTCCAGCTTTGCTAGTGATCAGGGAAATGCAAATCAAGACATAATGAGATGCCATTTTACATCCATTCCACCAGGAAAATGTTTTCAGTCTGGCAGTACCCCGTGCTGGGGAAAACGCAGATCCACCGAGTCTCTCACACACTGCTGGTGGGATTGTCAGTACAACACTTCAGAAAACGGTTTGGCACTGTCTCATGAAGCCAAACATTCACATGCCCTATGGCCAGCCTTTGCACTCCTTGCTCACTCATCAGAGAGAGAGGAATAAGAATTCACAGTGACAGTATTCACAGTAGCAAAAACCCAGAGACAGTCCAAATGCCTTGAGAAGAGAATGGACAAATAAAGTGCAGCATACTCACCAAAAGAGTGCTACACAGCAATGGAATGAATAGACTCTAGAGACATGCAGCAGGGTGGGTGGCTCTTAGATTGTGATGTGAAAGGAGAAAAAGCCCAGAAAGGTTACATGCATCAAAGTACCCTTTAATAAAGCGAAAAAGAAACACAATAAATTATAAATACACTCGAGGAATAGATTTAGACGTGATAAACCTATACTGAAAAAAAGGAAGCCAGAGAATGATAATGCATGAGTCGAGATAGTGAGGACTTTGCATGGAAGGCGACATAGGTTAAATGATAAGGATGCTTATTACGCTAAAAAGAAAACAAAAACAAGATCTCCCATGGAGCATTTTTATTCCAGAGCTGATTGAGATGCTATTAAATCTACCTAATTTCAAAAAAAAAAAAAAAAATACCAGGCAGAGAAACATGTTCAAAAGAACCAAAGGGAAGTTCAGGAAATTCACCAATCAGGAAAATCTAAGACTCAGGAAACTCCACAGGAAAAGTAACTCAGTTTAAAATTACAAAAAAAAAAAAAAAGATTCAAAAAGAGGGTGCAGGCCAGGCACAGTGGCTCACACCTGTAATCCCAGCATTTGGGAGGCTGAGGCTGGACGATCACTTGGGGCCAGGAGTTCTCAGCCAGCCTAGACAACATAGCAAGACCGCATCTCTATAAAAAATAAAAATAAAAATAAAAAAAGAGTCTGGGGAAACCAAAGGGTTAAGAAAGACATGGCACTGGTGCAGTGGTTCACACCAGCACTTTGGAAGACTGAGGCAGGTGGATCACTTGAGGTCAGGAGTTCGAGCCCAGCCTGGCCAACATGGTGAAATCCTGTCTCTACTAAAAATACAAAAATGGAACAGACGTGGTGGCATGCACCTGTAATCCCAGCTACTTGGGAAGGTGAGGCAGGAGAATCGCTTGAACGCGGGAAGCAGAGGTTGCAGTGAGCCAAGATCACATCACTGTATTCTAGCCTAGGTGACAGAGCAAGACTCTGTCTCAAAAAAAAAAAAGAGAGAGAGAGAGACATGGCAACCAAATGCACCATGCAGACCTTCTTTGCCTCCTAATTTCAGCAAATTAGTATAAAAACCATTATGAGACACTTGATATCTCAACACTGATGATGGAGGAGACCATGAAATTATTCATTTTTTAATTTGATAATGGAATTGTGATTTTTCAAGTTCTTTATTTTTTAGAAACATTTATAGTACTAAAATTTTTTTTAAGTTCCAGTAATATTTGTTCTGTGCTTTTCTCATACATGGTTGTAGCTTGTATACTGATCACACACACACACACACACACATATATACATTTCTATCCAACAGGATTATATTTCCAAAGCACAGACAATTCCTCTGCAGGCCTCAACACAGTGATTTGAATATTGAGCATACTGCTTTGAGAGTACTGAATTATATGCTAAATTTATAAAAATAAAAAACAGGATGGGTGCAGTGGCTCACACCTGTAATCCCAACACTTTGGGAGGCCAAGGCAGGCAGATCACAAGGTCAGGTGTTCGAGACCAGCCAGGCCAACATAGTGAAACCCCCATCTCTACTAAAAATACAACAAATTAGCTGGGCGTGGTGGCAGGCGCCTGTAATCCCAGCTACTCGGGAGGCTGAGGCAGGAGAATCGCTTGAACCTCGGAGGCGGAGGTTGCAGTGAGACAAGATCACCCCATTGCACTCCAGCCCAGGCAACAGCACGAGACTCTGTCTCAAAAATAATAAAAATAAAATAAAATATAAAATAAAAAACACACAAATAAAGGGCCAAGCATGGTACAATGATAAGAAGTATACCTTGAGCCAAGGATTATACATTTTCATATAACTGTTTGTTTGTTTGTTTGTTTTGAGACAGACTCATACTCTGTCGCCCAGGCGGGAGTGCGTGGTGCAATTTCAGCTTACTGCAACCTCCACCTCCTGGGCTCAGGTGACTCTCCTGCCTCAGCCTCCTGGGTAGCTAGGATTACAGGCATGCACCACCATGCCCAGCTAATTTTTGCATTTTTAATAGAGATAGGGTTTCACGATGTTGACTAGGCTGGTCTCGACTCCTGGCCTCAGGTGATCCACCCACCTTGGCCTCCCAAATTGCTGAGATTACAGGCTTGAGCCGCCATACCCGTCCTCATACAACTTTTTATACCAAAGTATAAACACAAAGTTCCAGGGAAGAAAGAGCAGGTATGCAAAGAAAGATGTCATAACTATTATACTTGTAAGGTGACCTTCCTTGGGAAAGAAGGTGCAGATCCCCCCAGCCAGGCTGAATCCCTCTGACACACACTCCCAGCACCACAAGAGTTAACTTATTGTGTGTATTGTCATTTATGCACGGTCTGATTCCCCCGCCAGGCTGTAGGCCCCACTCTGGAGGTGCTCACGTGGCCAGACTTGGAAAGCAGTTGAAAGCCTAAAGGAAGAAACTGCAGCATCATCCAGAGAAGGAACAGCACAGACCACAAAGAGAGTCAAACATCCCGGTGCCCAAGTCAGGAATGCCAACTAGAGATCAGCCAAAGCAGAGAGCCTGGTGGAGGGCATGGCAGTGGACTGGAACCATCTTCTCCTCTTCTGAGGAGCCGACGAAGGGAGTGGAGAGCAGGTGAGAGCCAGCATGCAACAGGAAGATGGGGACTGGAGGGGCAGAGTAACAGGGATGTGGGCTACCACAGGAATGCGAGCAATGCTAGTGTGTCAGACTACAGAACTCAGCATTCCTCAGCTCTTCTGGGAGGCCTACTCTGACCAGCGGATGTAACCACATTTAACCATGGAATGAAGCTCCATCAAGCTCATCCATGGTGCCTGGGCACCTGGAGGAAGGAGGGAGGGAGGGGTTCCCTAGGCTGACAGAGGGATAACGGGCAGGAAGAGCCACAAAGTGGAGTTGATTTTCAAGACCCCTCTAATTGACTCTTGAAAAGCTGGATAGGATGGGAAGGGAAGGAAAAACATATTGAGTGCTAGTTAGGCACTTCAAGGCATACAAGGAAAGTTTCCTGCCAGGAAGAGGGGCTGCACAAAGGTCAAGAGATGGAAAGAGCCTGGGCACGGTGGCTCGTGCCTGTAATCCCTGCACTTTGGAAGGCCTAGGTGGGTGAATGATTTGAGGCCAGGAGTTCGAGACCAGCCTGGACAACATGGTGAAACCCTACCTCTACTAAAAATACAAAAATTAGCTGTGCATGGTGGCGGACTCCTATTGTCCCACCTACTTGGGAGGCTGAGGCAGGGGAATCAATTGAACCCAGGACGTGGAGATTGCAGTGAGCTGAGATCGTGTCACTCCAGCCCAGATGTCAGAGAGAGGTTNAAAAAAAGAGAGAGAGAGAGAGAGAGATGAGAAGATACAATGGAGAGAGGAAGATACAATGATGTCTGATTTTCTTTCTCCTCTCAAAGATGCCCATTAAAGGTGCTGGAGGCCCTGGGCTGGGCTCCACAGGCTAGGAGGAATGTTTTTTGCATTCCTGTTCCCCTGTTAATATAGAAAAACCCACTGTTGATGAACTATTTCTACTTCCAGGAATTTGCCCCAGAGCTGTAACCAGACATATATTCACAATGCTAAAAAGAGGAAACCAAGTGTCCAACCACTAGAGTTAGATTGGTTAAAATACTATATAGTCATCAAAAAGCACATTGTCAAAGATCAGTTAATGGCACAGAAAGAACTACACCCCATATAAATGGAAAAAGCAGGTTACAAAACAATATGATTCCAATGTCATGAAAAAAGTATAAGGCTTTTTTTCTTTTTTTTTTTCTTTTGAGAGGGAGTTTTGCTCTGTTGCCCAGGCTAGAGTACAATAGCACAATCTCAGCTCACTGCAACCTCTGCCTCCCAGGTTCAAGTGGTTCTCCTGCCTCAGCCTCCTGAGTAGCTGGGATTATAGGCATGTGCCACCATGCCCAGCTAATTTTCTATTTTTAGCAGAGATGAGGTTTCACCATGTTGGTCAGCCTGGTCTCAAACTCCTGACCTCATATGATCCACCCACCTCGGCCTCCCAAAGTGCTGGGATTTCAAGTGTGAGCTACCATGCCTGGTCCCAGTTTTTTAAATATATAATGTTCAAAGAGTCGTTCTCTGTGTGGTAGGATTATGGGTGATAACTGTTATCCTTATTGTCTCTTATCAACAATAAATATGTTTGACTTTTTTTAAATTAGACAAAAACACAACAAATGTTATTGAAATACACACACAAAATTGAAAACACGCCCACATGGGGTAAGCTTACCTTCTGCAGGATGGGGGTAGGGCAGATGTTGTCAAACAGGACTGAGTTGAAGATCCCATACACGCCCTCATCAAGGTGGTACACGATGGTCTTGGAGGCAGAACCATTTTCCTCTGCAGGAGGGGAGGGGTCGGGGCAGCACAAGTAGCAATGTGAGGGGGGTGGTAGTGGGGCTGGCACAGCAGTGGGCTCTGCAAGGAAGCAAAATGGCTGCCTATTTCTCAACCATGAGGTGGGGCCTGCCACAAAAGCCACCAGCGGCCATCCTTCCAATGACATGGGTTCACTGCCATGTTGGTAACACTCACTCTTACAGCCAAGCAACCCTGCTCAGGACACACTCCCCTGCCTGCCTCTGAGCCCCTAGATGCCCCAGGACAGGAAGAACAGCCCACCCAAACTCAAGACCCCAAAAGGTTAAGACACTTGTTCAGAGGCACACGATAGGGCAGTGGATGAGCCAGAATGGGAAGCCAGGCCTCTTGGTCGGATTAAATGGGACAATCCCCCAGGTCTATAAAGGAAGCCAGAAGAATGCCACATATGTAAACAGGACATTCTACCTGGAGCCCACCACCCTTCCACGTGAATTCTCTCTGGGGAAGAGTGCACAGTCCTGAGGCTTTCCTGCCTGAGGGTCCCAGAGCAGAAGGCAAAGTCTCAAGATCAGAGTCCAAGACAGCTGTTACCCACAGGCGGCTGTCCCGGACTTATCTGGAAGGGCAGGGAAGAGCACTGATGTTGGTGATGCGGGGGGGCCCAGAAGCTCTGAGTCAGCCTAACTTGAACTTCAATCCCAGCACTGCCCCTTATCAGCCATGTGACCTTGGGCTAATGACTCAGCCTCCCCCTGCCTATGTTGTCATCTCTAAAGTGGACTCAAACAAATATAAGCTGTCATTAATTATTTTCATTACATTATGAGAAGCAGTAGGGTGAGTAGGAGGCTGTATTTTGGAGAGGAGACAGACATGGGGTCAAATGCAGGCTCTTACTAGCTATTAAGCAATTCATTTGTATTCTCTCTGGCCTTCAGTTTCCTTATCTGTAAAATGGGGCCCATAGAGTATCTATTCTCTCTAAGGTTGTTTTGCTCTCAATCTTCACAAAATATGAACATGCCTAGGAAAAAAGATGCTAAATAAATGTCTTGAGGTGGGGTGACCTGATTGTAAGTTTCCCTAGCAAGAACCTATTCTCCAGATCCCCCGTCCTCTGCCACTGGATCTAAAACCAGATCCTGCTCAGCCAACCACCGTCCCCACCTTCAGGGGAGAACAGGGCTCCACTGCTCTCCTGGCACCTACCCTCCCTGCCAGGCTGGTCCAGAAGAACCTCCTTCTTGGCAATGATGCTGACTGCCACAGTGAAGGCCGAGGTTACATAGTAGCGCCCCAGCTCAGCAAGGATGTCCACACCACAGCCCTCTGGGAAGTACAGGTCCAAGGCAGAGTTGATCACAGAAGCAATCTGGTAGGAGGAGAACGGGGAGACAATTATCTGTTTGAAATGTGGGCTTTATACTGAAGACTTGTTACAGCTCCAAGTCTGTTTCTCGAAAGCTGCTTTGATTTCAGGAAGAAGGATTTGGTAGCTGCTAAGCCCCGGCTGGTAACTGTGGACAGCTGGCCAAAAAGGTAGGAGGGGGACAGAGCTGGGTAGAGAGCCTCATGCTTCTGTAAATCACCCCCTCCATGGCCCCACAATGGGAAGGGGTACTCTTCATATCACACTTGGTACTCAGATTCCAGAAGCCCTGATGTGGATCTTTCTTTCATAAATAACCCGTTTGTTAAATACAGTTGACCCCTGACAAACACAGGTTTGAACTGTGTGGGTCCACTTATGCATGGATTTTCTTCTGCCTCTGCCACCCCTGAGACAGCAAGACCAAGCCCTCCACTTCCTTCTCCTCTTCCTCTGCTTACTCAACTTGAAGGCAATGAGGATAATGACCTTTATGATGATCCACTTCCACTTAATGAATAGTAAATACATTTTCCCTTCCTTATGATTTTCTTAACCGCATTTTATTTCTGGCTGGGCATAGTGGCTCATGCCTATAATCCCAGAACTTTGGGAGGCTGAGGTGGGCAGATCACTTGAGGTCAGGAGTTTGAGACCAGCCTGGCCAAGATGGTGAAACCCTGTCTCTACTAAAAATACAAAAAATAGCTGGGCATGGTAACATGTGCCTGTACTCCCAGCTACTTGGGAGGCTGAGACATGAGAATCACTTGAACCCAGAAGGCGGAGGTTGCAGTGAGCCAAGATCATGCCACTGCACTCCTGCCTGGGTGATA